CCTGGCCCTCGATAACCGATAGTAAACTTTCATCAAAATAATCAAAAAGCTTAAAATAACAAATTTCATTTCTGATTGGGTCGGCTTTCTATTCAATGGGAAGGTCGGATATAAAATCCAACGTCAGATTCAGAATCCTAGCCCTAGATAACCTATGGTAGAGTTTCATCAAAACGCCTAAAAAGCTTAAAACAAAAAACCTCGCTTCTGATTGGTCGGCTTTCTAGCCAATGGGAAGGTCCGATATAAAATCCGACCTCAAATTCGGAATCCTGGCCCTCAATAACCTATAGTAAACTTTCATAAGAAGTCGAAAAAAACTTAAAATATAAAAGCTCATTTCTCATTAGCCGTCTTTTTAGCCAATGGGATGGCCGGATGTAAAACCTGACCTAAGGTTCGGATTTCCAAACCTGGATTACCTTTGGTGAAACTTTAGAAGTTACGCCTAAATGAAATCCACATCTGATGTTTTTTTGACCTTTGACCTTTGACCTTTGACCTGACGACAAGCAAGCAAACTATTTTTTTCATATGACCCTCCCTTCAGTCGAGGGAATAGGGAATTTCGAAAAATGAATTGGTGTACTTCACCGTTATTTTTTTCATCCTAGCTCTATGTTAGACCAAATTGAATAGTATATTTGATATCAATATAAAAAATACGTCAAATCAGAGATATTACAGCTTAAAGAAAAGTATTCATGAAAAATGCATCCCTGATGAACTAAAGGCATTAGTGTATGTTCTGTTGTAGTTTTTGTACTGATATCGACTATGTTATTTATTTTACTTTGATATTGAACGATAGTGAATGTCGATTAAGTATAATCGATTTTGGATGATAATTTACATGTTATATATATCCCCCTGGAAAATAATAGTTAGACTCGGTATTTTCGATATATTATTACTATAAATTGACATTTTGAGAAAAGTAATTATATATTCAAATAGCCCGTGTAATTCTCTACAACTCTCTATATATAAGGTTTGAATTGCATTTGTTTCCTGGAAATAAATTCAAGAAGAATATATACTTAATTTTGTAATAAATTGTTTATCTATTGAAATAAATTTGAAAAAATCAATGAGATGTAAATTTTTGGGGAATCTGACAATACGGATATCTTTAGTATTCTTGAATTTATTTCCAGGAAACAAATGCAATTCAAAACTTATACATAGAGAGTTGTAGAGAATTCCACGGGCTATCCGAATATATAATTACTTTTCTCAAAATGTCAATTTATAGTAACAATCTATCGAAAATACCGAGTCTAACCATTTTTTTCCAGGAGGATATATAGACAAATAAAGAATACAAAAAATATATGTTCCAGTATATAGTAGAGGATACATAGAAAAAAAAATTATTTTTCATCTCCTAATAGTCTTAGAAAAACTTCAACATCGATATTTTTTCTTTCGAAATATAGTGTGTAGAAAAACGTCCTCTATTATGTGAAAATTTTGTATCTTGTACATTTCTTTATAACACAAACTATTGAATCCACAACTCTCGAATAAAATAACACGACAGATTATATAGGATCTTATAAGATCTGGTACGATCTGACATCCATTGTTTTGACTTGAGATAAGATTCTTGAAAGATCTTACTATCGCATGAGATTTCCTATAATCTTATAGTGATATCTTACAAGGTAGTAAGATCTCTAAGACTGCGATTTTTCGTACATTTTTTCATATGGCTTCGTCTGATCCACAAGATCTTATATCTGATTTTTTTTGACCTGAGTTGATACAAGTTGACAAAAATTTAGTGAAATCTCACCAGCATACTCTATGCAAATGCTTAAGAGATACTTCGGCAGATCTGCATTCATCATTCAGAAAATGATGTGAAGAATATCCTCAAAGATATATACTGAATCCTTAAGGTTTTCCAAAACCATATAAAATTACGTTTGACATTTGTTGCTCAACATGCTCCTAACAAGATATAGATAGAATCTTCTCAGAATTTCCTCAGTTTAGCAGTTTCACATAGTTCATTATTTTATTACTTAAATTCTTCTCTGATATTCATATAAATGATCATCCTACAAAAAGATTCTGCTATGTTTTTCTATCAAAAGCATAGATGGAATTAGCATCACTCTTTCTTTGAGGAGCTCTTTACAGCAATCTCCAGGTGTTATTTTTATGATCAAAAAGATCTTGGCAAAAACTAGAAGTAACATAGATGTAAGAATCGTTACCAAATCCTTTTTTCTCAAAAGAAACTAGGAAAAGATTTCTGAATTTTTATCTGTTGAATGAGCATTCTCAAAGATGAATGTCATATTTGTAGCGCTTACCCCCACGAGAGACGAGATCTCTTCGACAACGACGATTTCTTTTCTTTTTTGTTCATTGTAGTAATTCCTAATATTCCAGCTGATGCCCGATGGGCACAGAATGGAGTGACGGTTGCTGGAGGCCATGGACAAGGCAGTGCTACCAACCAACTCAACTACCCTTATGGTCTCTTTGTTGATGATGATCAAACGATAGTCATCGCTGACTGCCACAATCATCGTATCATCCAATGTAAGATGGGTGATACGAATGGACAAGTAGTAGCTGGTGGCAATGACCAAGGAAATCGATTGGATCAATTGAATTATCCAAGCGATGTGTTGATTGACAAAGAGACGGATAGTCTCATTATTTGTGATTGGGGGAATCGACGAGTCGTACGATGGTCTCGTCGTAGTGGTACAACTCAAGGAGAAATCCTCATTGACAACATCGAGTGTTATGGATTGACCATGGATGATCAGAGATATCTCTACATCTCTGACGTCAACAAACATGAAGTAAGACGATATCAAATAGGAGACAAGAATGGAACTCTTGTAGCTGGTGGTAATGGCAAAGGTGCTGGTCTCAATCAACTCAACTATTCGACCTACATCTTTGTCGATCAACAACAGACTGTCTACGTGTCAGATTGGAACAATCATCGTGTAATGAAATGGAATAAAGGTGCAAAAGAAGGAATTGTCGTCGCTGGAGGTCAAGGCAAAGGGAATGCTCTGACACAATTGTCGGATCCTGAAGGACTGTTCGTCGATACATTAGGTACCATCTATGTGGCAGACACGGAGAATAATCGAGTGATGCGTTGGCCTAAAGGAGCGAAACAGGGCACTGTCATTGTGGGTGGAAATGGTTCCGGAGAAGGAGAAAATCAGTTCAAGGATCCCGTTGCTTTGTCCTTCGATCGACATGGCAATCTCTATGTCGTCGATTGTGTGAATAATCGCGTTCAACGTTTTTCAATCGAATAGACTCGTCGTGACAGATTTTTTTTGCGTTCCTTTCGTTTCAAATAAATCACATTGAATTGATGAAATGAATGGCTTATTCTATTCGCGCGCGCGCGACCAGGAACCATCCTGGTGGAGCCGTGACGAGCGTAACGCTCATGCACGCGCAGGACAGACTCATATCATTCATACCCTCCCCGCGAGAGATATGTCAATGAATCTGAATAAGCCTGGTCGTGTGCCACGGACACCAAGATAGTTCCTGGCCAGTGTTTAACGTCTAACCTGAGAAGACGATCTAACTAACACTCATAACTCTATCTCACTCTCTCTCTCTAACTATAAAGAAAAAAAAGAAATGTATACTTACAATTCTAATAATTGATATTGAATGCAAGACGATGATTATCTAGAAGAAAAAGAAAAAAAAATTATTTAGATTTGTTTAAATTTAAAATAAGACTTACTTTCTATTATATCTACTGAAAAGAGAAAAGAAAAAAAACACATATTTTCAGAAAAATTAACAGGTTGCATATCGCTAACCCATTAATCTTAATGATATATATAATTTAAAAAAAAAGAAAAAAAAATTAAAATAATACCCACATATTTATATTGTATTGCTTGATATTGTTTTGTTTTGTACCATTAAGTCCATCCTAAAATATAATAAGAAAATTTGTTAGTTGATTCATGTAAATGAATAATTTTTACATTGAAAAATCATTCTTTTATATACACTTGAAGAGAGTTATTTTTTCTCTGGAGAGACACAATTTTCTTTTTTTTCCACTCTCCAAAGAATTGTTATTAATAGAAGCTATTAATTAAACTTCATTCCATATATGCTTATACATAAAGCTTAATTGATTGCACACTTTATGTATATATGTAATTATTGATCATCAAAATGTACATGATCAATACACATATTGAATGAGATTGAGAAAAAAACATGGTCATTGTCTTGTACAGAATCATATAGACGATATTCGTTGTTATCTTGTCGATGAATGTTGTCACATGTTTCTCTGCTATTATATACAATGCAAAAAAAAAAATTATTATTTTATTATGATGAAATCATCAATATTTTATATCAACAAGGAAAATCATATGTTTTTTGTATTATAAAATGTTATATCAAACATAATAATTTATTTGAAAAATTAAAAAGTACATTAAGTCATAATCATATTTAAATGAATTTTTTTTCATTTGTTAAATTATTTTTCTATCGAGAAAGTCTAGAATAGTTTTAGTTGATAGCTTATAAAAATTTTCTATCAAAAGTCATTAGAAACAAATCTATTTAAGGTTGGTCTCTCTTCAAAAAATGTATACTTTTCAGAAAAATATTATCTCTACGTCTAAACTTATTTAATATTATAGTTTGTTTCTCAAAAAACGTACTTTTTAATGAGAAAAATAGAAATAACTCTTGCTCAATTCATTATAACAGCAAAGTTTGTTTTTGTCTATTTCAACTCTATGTGTACTGAGTATTGAAGTTAACTTTAGTTTCTTATTACAATGATTTATTTTTGAAAATATCAATCTAAACAGATCATCCTATATGTTATATCAATTTTGAATAGAATTATCATATGAATTTTTTTTGTCTTTGTTTTTCATTTAAGTTATGTGCATGTAATTGGAAATAGTCGTGTGATTCTTGGATGAAAATATACAAATATTGGTTCAGGTTGTTCAAAAACAATGCAGTTATTAGTTGAACATGAACAATTTGCTAAAGTTTGTTGTTATTGAATTTGTTGAACCACCAACAAATCTTCAAGTCAATAGGTTACATTCATATTGAAATGTACTAATATGTAAACCAACATTTTTTAATAAAATTGATGAAGAAAAAATGTTCTAAGAAAAAGACTTTTATTTAATCTTTGTTGTTTTTTTTCATACATTTGTACAAGAAAGAAGAAAATTTGAGTAAGAAAAAAATTCTTTATTTATTGAAAATTAATTATCAAAATAAAATTTTAGATTATAAGGATTTAATCAATCAGATCTTTTTATTTCTGTTTAACAACTTCAAGTATATTTTTATTGTTATAGATGAATAATGTATTATTTTAAAATCTATTTTAGATGTTTATTAATGAATATACTGAAATTTCGTACGTGAATATTTTTATGGTTCAACATCCATCTCATACACTTTTACAACAAAATGGTTTTACTCAACAAGTTTATCTTAAATATAAACAAGAATGTCTTGATGGTAAAAAAGTAACATTGATTGTAGAGAAAAAAAAAAGATTATTAGGTCAGTACATATTTACAATATTTCGAGAGAAACAAGCTACTGGTAAAAAAAGATTGAAATTATGTTGCATTAAACGTATAAAAAACGAGTCTTTTAATGAATAAAGAAGAGTCAACATATCGAAAAACAACAGCGAAAACTACTCTCCGGTACAAATCAGTCTAAAAAGACATATTCTTATTTAAATAACTAATAGAGAATATGTCTGTTGCTATAATTTTCAAAAAAAAAAACAAAGATTTTACTCTTTTATGGAGTTTTTTTAATAAATACTATCATTCTTATCTACATGATAAATTTGAAAAGCAATAAAATAATCGTCAATGATTAAAAACACTAAGTTTCACTAATCGCCAAACTTTATTATTTCATAGAAAATATTTATAATCTAAAGTTATGTTGATTTACAAATAAAATACATTTTGTTTTCTGTAATGATCTGATTTCTAGAACGCGTTAAACTTGATCCTGGTCAATCAATGGAAATCAATACACTACAATTTTTTAGTCATTTTTCTTATGTGAAAATTTTAATCGTCATATGTACAATGAATTTAAACAATATGCTGTTGAAGACACTAAAACTGATCATCGGCATATAAATGAATTGTTTTTATGAAAAATAATAAGCAAAAAAATTGAGTATTACTATTTATGTATAGATATGATGTTGAATATCTATTTCGATTTTATACATATGGTATAGAAAAACATTTTCAACAAGAAACTCTTTGTGATCATGAAGCTGGTAATAAAATAGATTACACAAAAAAAAAAGAAAAGTGTCAATAACAAAAATAATTTTTCTATTAGGTCAATTATACGGTTTAGAAAAATTCTGGACATTTTTAAAATATTCTCGACAAAAACCAAAAATCAATCCAAAACTTGAAGAAATTTTAAAAACCTATAAAAATCTTGAAGATTTTCGTGTTGATGGTGCATAATTTCCACAACAATTTTTTCCAACAAAATCAAATTATAGTAATTGAAAAACATTTTTTTTCCTATGATATAAATAATTTCTTTATAGACTGTTCCAGCATTCGAAGCAATTGCTGCTGCAGTAGCAAAGAACAGTGATACATCAAATTCATTAAAACCCAATGGTGAACAATATCTGAACGGTGCTCACATTTTTTCAAGTGGATTTCGATTTATTTAAAAGTATGCATGTATTTTTTTTTTGCTTTCAAAATTTATTGTTATTTAATCTTTTTCTATGTATATATTACATTGGTTTGTTATTGTAGTAGATAGATAGATTAAATAGTGATGCATTTTCTTTTTCTATCGATAGAGATATGAAGAATTTTCATATGGTTTCGTTTTGTTTCTGGAACTATTTGCTAATAAATTCATCTCGTTTATTTAATAATATTGGTAAGGTATTGAGATAATATTTTATTTCGATAGAAGAATTTAGTGTTTTAGGAAGAATTGATATTGGTTTAGGTATTGGTGGTGGTGTGATTAATTGTATGCTTTATAATGGTAAGTAATGAAAAAATTAAAAAAACCTTGTTTTCTTTAAATTTAAACATATTCTAGTTGATGATGGTCATCAAGATGTTATTTTTGATCATTTTCAAAGTGTTAAACTAGATGTTATTGAAGAAGGAACTCATTTTATGATTTCATGGCTTCATAGACCAATTATATTTGATATTCGTACACGACCACGATCTGTTCCATCAATAACAGAAATAAAAGATATAAAAGCTAGAAGAGAACAGTCAACTTCAGGAGAGAGGTGAACATGAGGAAAATGTAAGCTCGCGAAAAAAGGAAGGTAAATACGATGTCTATTAAAACATCAATGAATGTATATGGCTGAGGTATCTTAAAAAATTTTGCGGTCATTGATGGCGACTCAACTGATCGGTTTACACCTCTACACTCTCATCATTCACCAATCTTAGGATACTTCATAAAACTTAAAACCGGAAGTCTCCGTTATTTTTTCTTCGTATACATGAAATATGCATAAATTACATTTTATTATTTTTATTTTAGATTTACAAACAATTAATATAACATTACGTATTCTTTATCGACCAAGAGCTGAACTTTCACCAAAAATTTTTTTGCAAATTTGGGTTTAGATTATGAAGAACGTGTTTTACCATCGATTATTAATGAAGTTTTAACATCTGTTGTACTAAGTCTCAATTTGATGCTATTGAATTGATTACACAACGCACACTTATTTCGCAACGTAATAATGAATTATTAACAGAACGTGCTGCTCAATTTGGTTTATTACTTGATGATATTTCAATTATAAGATACGATAAAAAAGAGTCTCGAGTTGATTATATTGTTTTTTTTCTTTAAATTAGACACATTTAAGTTTTAGACCTGAATTCACAAGTGCTGTTGAATTAAAACAAGGTGCACAACAAGATGTTGGAAAACAACGGTTTTTAGTTGAAAAAGTAAATCGATAAGAATAAAATTTGTATGAGTTTGTTTTTTTTTGATAAAAAAAAACAGACGGAACAAAGTCGTCGAGCAAATGTTATTGCAGCAGAAGGTGATACTCGTGCAGCTGATTTGATTGGCAAAGTTTTAGATGAAGCTGGTGATGGTAAATTTTCGAATATCTTTTATTATCCTGTCTAACTTTGTTTTAATATTCATGTTAGATTTAATCGAACTTCGACGAATTGAAGCCACTGAAGATATTGCAAATCAATTATCAAAATCAAGAAATAGCGTCTATTTACCACATGGTCCTCAAATATTACTTAACATTACTGGTGCTATGCAATAAAAATATTGTTCTTTGTTTTCATAGTAAACTAACGAGATTGATTTAGGAAAATAAAAAGGACATATAAGAGTTTTTTTTGTATATATGTGTGTGTTTATAAACTATTGAGAATACTAAAGCATTGTATTGTCCTGTTTTTTGTTCGATTAAAGAAAAAGAAGATGAAATTAACAATTCTCTGGATGATATTAAAGATTCGAGTACGATTGAAATGATGAATTTCGATAATCTCTTTCGATGTTTTATATTAACTCAATCATTTGTACGTGGTTGGGGAAATACGTTTCATTTACAAGAAATTTTTACCTAACGACGTGAAAAAATTGGTGTAAGAGATGAGTGTTTAGAACTTGTACCAGCTGAAAATGTACAGGAAAATACTGTTGAAATAATGAAACAAGAAACAAAAAGATAATTAAAATTATATAAATGCTCGATTTGGTTCATCACTTGCCAATTATTTATCACATTTGGTAAGTAATTAAAGTTATTTTAATCGTTTAATTAATATTATCTTTTTTCTTTTGTTGTATTTATTTAAATAGATTTCATCTCAAGTAGCTACAGCTCATTTTCAACTTGTTTTATCACGTGATCATCGTTTTGGTATTGATTCAATTCCAATAGGAATTTGTTATGCTGCTACTACATCGGTAATCATATTATATTACCATAAAATATAAAAGTTAGCTGTAACATCATATGAATATCGTACGACTTACAAATAAAACATTATAGTAGGATCAAAGCAACTTTCTATTCAAATTTTATAACAATTTGTTAAGAAATTGTTTTTTTCTACGATAGGACATAAAGTGTTCTTCTAATGTACATTCTCGCTTAGTTAGTAACGTTAAAGATAATTGCTAAAAAGAAGAGAAACGATACATGCTTAGTAGTTTAAAAAATATACTTTATTGATGTTGATTCAGCGAAAGACGAAGACGCAACAAATAAACTATTTTGAATTCATTCGAAATAAATAGAAGTGTCAAGCTTGAAACTTGAATTCAATTGAGTCTTCAAGTTTCAAGTTTGATATAGTATATGGAATAATGAGGGTAGAAAAAATGCTCTCATTCATTAATAAAATATTGAAACTCGATATTTTTTTCCATTGTAAAGCTGAATTTTCATTTAATTATTCAAGAAAGACTATACACACGCTGAACTATACTTTATTCTTGTTTTGTAGTTTTTGTTGCAAGAAATGCAGAATACACAACAGAAAATTGATTATGTTTCTTTTTTGTGATTATTTTGCAAATAATGAAACTAATTGAATTAAATAGAATCTATTGATTTATGCAAGAGTACATAAATATTCTCTGTTAGTGTGACTACATAATTGCACATTGACCGTAATGAGCGAGAAATCGGAATGTTTCTTTGTCCCCATTCCTTGATTTCACTCAAAAACAAAAAAAAGAAAAGTAACTTTAATAATATAATTTTAATGATTGAAATATTTTAAAATAAAGAAAAACGATATTTATTTGAATATAGACAGATAGAAAAGCTTTTCTTTTAAACTTAATATTGAAACTATTATTGAAAATGAATTGTACTTAGTTGGTAACTTCATTGAATGAGAACAATATTAGCAGAAAAAAATCTATTCACTATCTTAAAAATAGGACAACATTCAATATCATAATGTAAACTGTTTTGGCATCAGAATCCATAGGAATATAGCTAGAAAAATAACATTTTTAGGATAGTGCCTATGCTAGATAAATACATATTCTTTTTATGTATGTCCAATTTCAGATATTTGATACGAAGTTCTTTGGAAGAATTAATCCAAATTCGAATTCAATCATCTTATATTCTGCTGAAATATGATCTCTAAAATTTAGATACATTTGCTTTTGTTAACTTTTTTCTGGAACTTTTTACAAATATGGTAGTCCAATATTTTAACATCGATTAGTCCCGTCCTATATGAAATTATATATTTAGATCTCTGTTTGTTAGAAAATGAATTTTGACTTTCTATATATCAGAGAAGCTTGTGTTTTTATTTCATAGTATATCATGAAATCTTGCTATATTCTCTTGAGCTTATACCTGCTAATGTGCATAACTCATAAATGATGTATAAAAACGTATTATATGTTAATAGCTTATAATCAGCATTGTTGAAAAATAAAATTTTATCTTACCTTTAACAGTACACTTTAAATGAACTCAGACAGAGGGTTTCCTTTTCACAATGAGAAATCCAGAATAACAATGGTTAGAGCGTTAGCATAAAAAAAATCTTATGAGATCGAGTGAAAAATTGAATTAGCAAGAAAGCTATGCATGAACTCATGCGAAAAAATTATAGCATTGAAAACTTAGATAATTAAATATTTGCTTACGTTAA